TCCAGCTCTTGGACTTAGGCAATTCTCTTGCCTCAGCCTCCCCAGCAGCTGGGACTACAGGCACCTGCCACAACGCCCGGCTATCTTTCTGTTGCAGTTTGAACCCACCACCCTCAGTATATGGGGCTGGTGCCCTACCCACTGAGCTACAGGCACCGCCCTGAGACTCTGTCTCAAGAAAAATAAATAAATAAATAAATAAAATTTACATCTTGTCATCAGACCTGAGATGAATCATTCCACTGCAACATATTGTTAGAAGGCTGAAATGTTAGATGTGAAAAAAAAACCTTTCCCTGCTCTCTTGGGAATTCCTCTGTGACTCTGCACTTCTCACTTCTTTCTTTTTCCTCACATCCCACACCCTTCCTACGACCAGGGTAAGAAAATGTCTGTGTGCACTGACAATGTCACTGACCTCCGGATTCCCGAGGGTGAGTCAGGGTTCTCCAAATCCATCGTATCCTACGTCTGCCAGGCAGTCATCATCCCCTCAGAGGTGACAGGCTACAAGGCTGGGGTATCCTCACAGCCTGTCAGCCTCGCTGACCGACTGATTGGTGAGTACCTCAGCTGCTCCAGCTTTGTTGGAGTGAGTGTGCGTGTGTGCAAGTGTGCGTGTCTGTGCAGGAGAGAATGAAGCTACCCGGCTTGGGATAAAAGGCATCCTGTGAGGGGCCTGACCTCCTGACCCCAATTTTCTATTCCATCCTATGTGCCCCGTGCCCCTGGGGTCTCTGACAAACCTTTGTTCACCCTTTCATGAGCCACTCAGGGATGTAATGAGATGAAGTGAGGTTGGATGTTGATAGGTATTGAAAGAATTAAAGTGGGTTGCTAGCTGATGCTGCTAGTAAGAACTAATTAGGAGCTCTAATTTGGCAGGGGTGACAACAGATATGACTCTGGATGGAATCACCTCCCCAGCTGAACTTTTCCACCCGGAGTCCTTGGGAATACCGGACGTGATCTTCTTTTATAGGTGAAGATGAGAGGCCAGGCTAATGCAAGTGAAACCCAGGACTCCTCCAAGTTCTGCTGCATCCCATCCTCTCTCGCCACCAATTGCATATCAAGCCTAGCAGATCTGCCTAGTCATGTTAGCTAAAGGCCGGGAGTTCCCTGATCCCAGCTTGTGGCTATCACGGGGGCAGGTCTGCCCTGGAGGCAGAGAGAAAGATTGGATGATCTGCAGTGGACTTCCCTTCCAGCCTAAGGATCCTCCAGTGTGTGCCGTGCCTTTCCTAGACCATTGTATTTACTCCTTGACTAGATCTTGCTGATCCCCACCCTCCATGTAGCCTGTGCATTCCCTGTGTGTCAGGCTAGAGCCCAAGTCCTGACTTCCCCAGCAAGGGAATCATTCCATACTGGCTGCACTTAGTGGCTGTCCAACAACATGGTTGAGTGACTTGTTCCCCCATGGGGGCTGCTTTCTCTGCAGGTCCAATGATGTGACCCAATCCTGCAGTTCTGGAAGATCAACCACCATCCGTGTCAGGTGCAGTCCCCAGAAAGCTGCCCCTGGAAGTCTGTTGCTGCCAAGGTAAGCCCTACAAAGGTATGTAACAAAGGCCAAAGTCTCCCTTCCTTGGACTCATTCTATCCCAAGAGCCAGCGATTACTGAAAAAAAAGCAAAAGGGAAAAGAGTTTGAGATCCCTTATTAGGCTATTGGAGGCATAGTGATGGCCCCAAATTCTCAATCATCAGAAGGAAGACTTGAAGCTGCCCCCATGTTCCCGTTACAGTGTCAGCTGTACAGTGCAGCATGGTGGCCCATGGCTCTGGCTGAGAGCTGGATTTGAATCAGCTCCTCCATTTCCTACCTGTGTTATCAGGGATATATTTCTTATCTTCTCTAGGCCTTTCCCCCCCTTATCTGTAAAACTGGCATCATAGTAAGTTCTCTCAGGTTGTTTTAAGGACTAAAGGAACCAGTGATACTTTAGGTACAGGGATGTCCAACTATTTGGCTTCTCCAGGCCACATTGGTAGAAGAGTTATCTTGGGTCACACATTAAATACACAAACACTAAGGAAAGCTGATGCACACACAAAAAGGTCTGTGCATAATTTTTGTGATATCTACCACCACAGATAAGCAAAAAAAATCCTCACATAGTTTGCATGCAAGCTCACATGGGCCACACTTTGGCCCTTGCTAGGAGTTAAGGATTGGAGAAGGTTTAGGGATCCTAAGAATGGATCTCTCTACAACTAAAAGATCCAATTCTGAGTTTAATAGCTGAGTTACTAAATTGAAAGTTTCCAGGCTCAGCACCTGTGGCTCAAGCGGCTAAGGCGCCAGCCACATACACCTAAGGTGGTGGGTTCGAATCCCCAGCCCAGGCCCACCAAACAACAATGATGG